GGCGTCGAGAGAAGGGACAATGATGGCCACGACTAAGTTCATGGGCCACTACGACGGCGAGGTTGACCAAGGGTTTATTGCTGCCAGAAGGGGCCGAAGTCTTTGACGATATTTACGGGAAGAGCGTCGTGCCTAAATTTCGAGATCAGGCGCCGTCGCGCGATGCGCACAATTCGAGAGCGCGCAATGGAACGCGTCATTCGTGCACGTTACGGTGTGCATCATTTCTAACTTTCGCAAGGGCTTCGCCCCCTGCCGCCGGCCCCCTCTCTCGGAGAATGGGCCATGGAAGAGCTAAGTCATGAGGTTTTGGCGCTGTCATGCAGCAGTGTCGGAACTTCATGCGAGGCCGATTCGCAATCGGCAAAACCAACTGATCACAAGAGGGGTTGCCACACAGGCTGATTGGTAAGACGTGTATGGTTTACGAGCTTGGTTACCACACCTTGGGATTAAAGGGCCGAGGGAGTACTCGCAGTTTGTGTTACCGCGCCTTGCGATGGTTGTGCGTGAGGGGTGGTACCGAATTACAGAAATGTGGCAATTCCCTTGTGTTTTTGGACCCTGACCCCGCGGATCTGCGTGAGGGGTGGCACCGAATTTCAGAAATGTGGCAAATCCCATGTTTTTTTTTGACCCTGACCCCGCGGATCTGCCTGAGGGGTGGCACCGAATTTCAGGAATGTAACAAATCCCTTGTGTTTTTTTGACCCTGGCCCCGCGGATCTGCGTGAGGGGTGGTACCGAATTTCAGACATGTGGCAAATCCTGTGTTTTTGGGCCCTGACCCAGCGGATGTGCGCGAGGGGTGGCGCCGAATTTCAGAAATGTTGCAAATCCTTTGTGTTTTTGGATCCTGACCCCGCGGATCTGCGTGAGGGGTGGAACCGAATTTCGAAAATGTGGCAAATCCCTTGTGTTTTTGAACCTTGACCCCGCGGATCTGCGTGAGATGTGGCACCGAATTTCAAACATGTAGCAAATCCCTTGTGTTTTTGGACCCTGACCCCGCGGATCTGCGTGAGGGGTGGCACCGAATTTCAGACACGTGGCAAATCCCGTGTGTTTTCGGACCCTGAACCAGCGGAACTGCGTGAGGGGTGTCACCGAATTTCAGAAATGTGGCAAATCCCTTGTGTTTTTGGACCCTGACCCCGCGGATCTGCGCGAGGGGTGTCGAGCCCCCCCAGCAATTCAGACAACGCGCCCAGGGAGTGCTAAAAATCCCGTTTGGGCCTCCCCCCCCTCGCGCGGTCAATCAACTAGTTACAGTAACCAGCAAGAAGCATAACTGTAACACTGGAAACTACAAGCTACAACTGGCACTGGAAACTGCGAGCCCGTGCCTCGCAGCCCGGTGGCCCCGCAAGGGGGCCGGCGGATTTTATCACTCTTGGACAATCCAGAGCAATGAGGGCGAGCTACGCTGGGGCCAGAGTTGACCATTGCCCGGAACAGATGCGGAGGGGTGTCTACGAATTGGGTCACAAGATAATGAAAACACCACAGGGAGCACAGTTCTGTTGGAGACAGTGATCGCGGCACGGCCTCAAGACCGGGGCGCGCGCGAACCCCTGGCCGACGCAGCATGCGATATCCGACCTGGCCCAGCAGACCGAATGGAAAGAGCCTCAGCAGGAAACGTGCCAAGATGCTCGGGCCCGTCTGATTGGGAAACGCGGGGGTATAATGCCGCGCTCTCCATTGACATTGGCACCCCGTCGCCAGCTGAGCCGATATCAGCGACAGCGGCGGCGCTGATATCGGCTCAGCTGGCGACGGGGCGCCCGTGGGTCGCCCAGCGCAGAGCACGGGGACTAACGACGGGGCAGCGGGGACACCCAGCCCGGGCATGTCCCGAGCTCCTCGCCACATTCAGAAGAGCCAACTGCGGGGCCTGCCCCCGATCCAGTCGGCGGGGTTCCCGCGCCAGCCGTGGCAGATTCAAAGATAGACGATCCTCGGACAACCGGGAGTAGTGATTCAGTCGCTGCCCCTGCGCCCTTACTCCCATTGTTGCTGGTCCTCGCCGCGACCCCCCCCCCCTGCGCCGCCCGCGCGGGGGGCCGCGATGGCCGCCTTTTCCGACTGGCGCCGCCCGCGCGAGGGCTCGCGGAGGCCGCCCCAGCAGCGCCCGCAGGCGGCGACAGCGAGACAGGCAGGGCAGGGGCCCCGACGGGGGGTCGAGGCTCGCTGACGCGTCGGCGCCGCCGCGGCGCCAACAAGCACAAGATGGGCAAAAGATGGGGAACCGTGCTTCGAGCGGGCGCTCGACGCGGGACATGTGCCAGCGCGGTCAGCGCCAGGGCCGCTGGAGCCGGAACCTCCACTAATACGATCACAAACATAGCGCAAGATGGGCATGAAACCGGATATGGCAATGGCGATCGCAAGAAGAATGCGATGCTGCGATTAACCGCGAAGGAAATTACATCTCGCGATATGCGCGGCAAAGAAGAACATGCCGCAGGGCGGTTAGCTTCCAAGGCGCTACTTGCGGGAGAAGATCAGGACGACACGCTTGTACATCAAGTCTTACTTTTCTATTGGGCCTGGGCAGTTTGCCGCGGGGTGCGCCGGCCCGCTCCGACAGTGCCCGTGGGGGGGGGGTCCAGCGGGATCATCGGCGCCCCTGCTCCGGCGCTGCAAAAAGGAGGGTCTTTGGGGGTCGGCGAGGGGGAGGGCCAATGTGCCCTGGGGGGTGCCAGGAAACCGCAGCGCTCTCCGGGCTGGGTTGGAAGCGCAGGGCCTGCGCGGCCCGCCGCGGGGGGGGCTGATCATGCCCCCCCCCCGCCCGCCCATTGCGCCTGCCACCGCCGCCGGCGCCGCCGCCCGCGGCTATTTCAGGACCAGAAAACGCGTGCGCGCCCGTCGCGCGCGCGGGAAACATAGGAGCGAGGAGATCGCGTCGTTGCCGCCCTCTCTTTCTTTGCCCTCCCATCGTGTTTCCGTGTATATCCGAGGTATAGCTTAACGGCTCCATCATGAGCAATGAGACCAATAACGCACCATCACCATTTCACCCCATTTTCGCCAGGAGCCACGATTCGATGGCGAACGACTTCGTCGTTGTCGTCGCCGCCGCCTTCGCCGGTTGTCGTCGTCGTCGCCGCGGCCAGTCGTCGTCGTCGTCGTCGTCGTCGTCGTCGTTGTCGTCATTGTTTCTGTCGCTGTTGTCGTCGCGGCCGCTGGTCGTCGTCGTCCTCGACGTCGTAGCCACGAAGTGCTGGTGCCACTGCAGCGCTGCTACTGTCACCGCCCCCGCTACTACAATGCCCGCGCCCGTCACGTTACCGTTGCCCCGCCACGGGGGGGTTCTCCACTTCCTGTAATAGACGTTTCGGGAGGGATAAACAACAAGTTCGTAGCACCAGCGGGTGGACAGTCACCGGGAACCAATCCAGATGCCAGGTGCGCAAAGCTTTTGACGTGCGCCACGTGTTCAAGGTCCGCCACGTTTGCTGGATGCTCCAAGTGGCCCAGAGGCCCGAACGTGCCGAACGCGCCTGGGGTGCGCCTTATCTTCCACGTGAGCTGAGTTTGCCATGCGCCCCAGCCGCGCCAGGTGAGTGACGTGCGCCACGCGCGCAAATGCGCCAGGCGGCAACAGGCGCGTCATTGCACGTGGCAGCACACATTGGGGAGTGTGTGGACATCCCTTTTTTTTCATCCCCGTCATAAACCAAAACAAAGTGGCTGCATGATGGTCAGCGTGGTTAAAGGCGCGTGCGCCCGCAATCAGTTAGAATTTGTTTGGGTACTGATGGTTGGCGAGCGCACCGCGGACAAACATGTGTCCCTCGCCGTCGAAACAATGCACAGCGATTACGGGTTGCCCGCTCATGGTGTTAATTCCACCGCCGCCCATTGTTTACTGATTTTTGACAGGTGTTGAGGGTGGGGGGCCTAATGGTTCCCGGTCGTCGGCTGGTCGAGGTGCGTATCTATCCGTGGAACAAAAAAAGGAATGGAACAAAAGGGTTTGGGCAAACAAAGTCGCATAGCCACCTACGCCCAGACGGCGGTTGTGATTGACGTAATTTGGACACGAAGCTGCGCGGGCGTCGTCTTGCCCTTCGGCATCTGATGATGATGCGGCGATGTTGACGATAGTGCTGTGAGTGTGTGAGCGTGTGAGTGAGAAAGGAGGGAGTGTTCCTGTTCCTGCGCGGATGTCCAGAGAAAACAAAAAACCCACTTTGAATATGGACACATATACAAATACTCCAACCTGTTCAAGCATACGAAACACATTTTTTTGTGGGTCATTTTTGAACATTCCCCCATGTAGAGGGAGATGCCCGGCTTAAAGGTACAGCGCCAAAACAAGCAAGGACAACAAACAAGGGGTCAGGGCCCCCGTTGCGCGCAATGTGGGAGGCGAGGCAACGGAAGGACAGCGCGGAGGAATAATCAGAAGCTGGGCGAAGGCTGGCAAATCCGTGGCCGCTATTCTCGGAGGAAAAACAAATCCCAGAATAAAACTCCGAGCGCCGAGTAATACAGCTTCGGTGAGGGAACACGACGTAACACCTGTATTGCACCGTTCGTCCGGGTCGCCTCCCCGAAATTTTGGTGGTTTCATGAGGCAGTTTCGCTCTTCCCGCTCCTCGGGGCGAGCAAGGCCGCTCGCCGAGGAAAAAGGAGGATAATGTTGGGGCTAATAGAAGAAATTCTGCATCTTGCCTTGAATTTGTTTGTTACCCTCAAGGCGATAACGTGCGTTGTGCCCCCTACCCTCCCCCCTCCTCCCCCCCCGCATAATGCAACGTTCCCCCCCTCAGTGCGTCCCTGGCATTGCCGCAGTGCGTCCGGCACTACAGTCTGGGCTGGGGTGTGGGAGGGGCGGTACGTCATGCCACTTCCCGCCCCCCCTCCCCCTCCCACCCATAACGCCCGTTACGGCCGCGAACATAATTTGTGCAATTGAAACAAGGGCCTTCCTTCCCCTGAAGGTTTTCGTGAAGTTCTTGGCGCCTTGGTGAGGTCACTGCAAGAAGATGAAACCCACCTGGGACCAGCTGATGAGTGAATTCAACACTGGAACCGACGGAGCGAAGACGCCGCTGATAGCAGATGTGGACTGCACAGGTGCAGGCAAGGCTCTGTGCGAGAAGTTCAACGTCAGGGGCTATCCGACGATCAAGTATGGCGATCCCGCCGACCTGCAGGATTACGATGGAGGACGCGACTACGAGTCGCTGAAGAAGTTTGCGGATGAGAAATTGGGGCCCGCCTGCGGCCCTGACAATCTCGACCTTTGCGACGCTGACGCCAAGGTCATGATAGCGAAATTCTAGACGCTTCGCGTAGTCCCACCAGGTAATTCGTCGTTGCGTGCCCCGCTTCTACTGGACCCGCCGCTGGCGCGCTCGCCTGCGGCCGCTGACTAAAAAGTATCCCCACCAGCCCATCCAGAAGCGATATCCAGGCGAGTTGAGGTGATCAGGGAAGTGCGGGAGCATCGAGGCGGACTGCCGAACCGTGCGAAGGAGGGAAGAGGAGAAGGAAGAGGCTGGATTGATGTACAAGGGAGTGGGGAGAAGGAGGATCTATAGGATGAGGAGGAGTAAAAAGGAGGAGGAGGAGGAGGAGGAGGAGGAGGAGGAGGAGGAGGAGGGAGGAGGAGGAGGAGGAGGAGGAGGAGGAGAGGAGTAGAGAGGAGTAGGAGGAGGAAGGCGGAGCATGAGGAGGAGGGCAAGCAAAATGGCCAGAGGCATGGGACGTCTTGGGGGTCTCTTGGCGGTCCTGGGGTGCTCTTGGGCGTCTTGAGTGCCTCGGGGGGGGGCTTTTGGGGCCGCTTGGGGCCCTCTTGGTGGCCGCCTGGGGGCCTCTTGCTTTTTGGAGGACATCGATCACAGAAGGGGGCTCCCTTAATTAGGGTCGCCCCTCGGGAGCCCCCCACGTCGCCTTTTTGAGCGTTCTTGGGGCGCTCTTGGAGCGCTCTTGGGCGCTCGTGGGGCCGTCTTGGGGCTCCCTTGGGCCCCTCTCAGGGCTCTCTTGGGCCGTCTTGGAGCTATCTTAAAGCCTCGAATGGCCATCGGAGGCGAAAAGGCTAGAAAACACAACACATTGATGTTCCCAAGGTGTTGGAAGGGAGCTCTTTCGGCATCTTAGAGCCGCCTTGAAACAGTCTTGGGGCGTCTTGGAACATCTTGGGAGCCATCTGGAGGCATCTTGCGCTATCTTGAGCCATCTTGGAGCTCATCTTGGGCTCACTGACGCCTTCTTGGGGTCATCTTGGGCCATCTTGGACGCCCTGACCGCTCGCGGGGCGCCCCGTCCAGGTCCAGGGGAGGAGGTGGGGGGAGGGGTAAACCCCTCCCTGAACGGGAAGAAGGGAGGTGGAAGAGGAAGCGCTGTAGACCACCAACGCCCATAGGGCTAATGGGATTCCTGACGACCGACATCGACGAACTTGACCTCAAGATAGAGGAGGCCGAAGCGAACATTGAGAAGATCAAGAATCAGAGCGCTGGGAGGTTGGCCAAACACAAGAAGAAGCTGGAGAGCGTGCAGGCGAAGATAAAGGCGGAAATGAAAGATTTGGAGGATAAGGTCGCCCAGTCCAGCAAGAAGACTGGCCTTGCGCTGATGAAGTCGATCGCGGCCTCGAAGAAGAGTAAGGATCACGAAGAGCTCTAAGTGCCCGTGCCACCGATAAACCGCTCATCCAGAAAGTGCATTTCGATTCAGATCGTGCCCTCCAGATGGACTTGTGAAGCCGCGTGAAGTTGCAAATTCTAGACGCTTCGCGTATTCCCACCAGCCCATCCAGAAACGATGTCCAGGCGAGTTGAGGTGATCAGGGAAGTGCGGGAGCAAAGAGGGGGACGGCCGAACCGTGCGAAGGAGGGAGGAGGTGATGGAGGAGGCTGGATGGATTGATGAGGGAGTGGGGAGAGGGAGGACGGATAGGATGATGATGGTGAGGAGGAGGAGGAGAAGGAGGAAGAGGAGGAATATAAGGACTAGGAGGAGGAAGGAGGAGCAGGAGGAGGAGGAGGAGGGTAAGCAAAAGGGCCAGAGGTCTCTTGGATACCTCCCGGAGCCTCTTGGGATATCTCTTGGGCGTTTCTCGGTGGCCTCTTGGGACGTCTTGGGGGTCTCTTGGCGGTCCTGGGGGGCTCTTGGGCGCCTTGGGTGCCTCGGGGGGGGGCTCTTGGGTCCCCTTGGGGTCCTCTTTGGAGCCTCCTGGGGGCCTTTTTGGGGGCCTCTTGGGACTATCTGGGGGCCATACTTGGGCCTCTTGGGACCTCCTGGGCGCTTCTTGGGGCCATCTTGGAGGACATCGATAAAAGAAGAGGGGGGCTTCTTTTAGCCCTGCCCCCCCAGGGAGGCCAACATGGAGCCAACACCCAAGTAAAACCAATGGTTTTGGCTTCCTCGCCGAGGCAGTTTTGGACGCTCCAATGGGTCGCGGCACCGCCCGTCCAAGTCCAGGGGGGGGGATAGGGGAAGGGGTCAAGCTGCCCGCCCGCCCGCAAGCCGTCTAGCTCACTCCCACCCGCCCTCCTTACACATAAGTAACACCTGAGCCTGAGCATGTTCAGCGGTCGTCTTTGGATGGGCAGCTACTGGAGACCAGAGCCGACCCCAGGTGCGCGACGCTTGGGCGAGGTGCTGCACGCGTGCCAGGGGCGCCACGCGGGCCAGGCAACCCTGGGGCCTGGGGCCCGAGCGTGCCGCGCGCGCCTTGTGCGCCAGATGCGCCACGTGCTCCGAGTGCGCCAGGTGTGCCGCACACTCCAGGCGCGCCAGGTGCGCCGCGTTCGGGGCACGTGCAGAGTGCGTCAGGTGCCTCTGCGCACGTGACAGCACACATCGGGAAACATGTCGGCCTCCACCATCCTTGTCGAAAACCGATGCCCATTATTGTATCTGGTGGGCCTGCGCACAGCAAGCCACGTGTCACCATCCCCGCCGCCCCTGTTAAAAACCACTTGACAGTGATCGCGGGATGGCCGCGCATGATTCAGGTTTAGCCGCGAGGTGCATGTTGTATTGCTTTTTGTCAGGGATGGTGGCCCTGCGCGCAGCAGGGAATATGCTGACCCCCCTGCCGTCCCTGTTAAAAATAATACAACGTGCTCGCGGGCCTCACGAACATGACTCGAGACTTTGCCCCAAAGTGTACTTTGCATGGTTTTTTGACAGGGATTGTGTGGGTGGGGCGTATCGGGTTGGCCGCGCATGCTCCAAATGTGGAGGCAGAGTGCGGTTTGCATTGTTTTTTGAAAGTGATGGTGGGGGGCGTGTCGACATGGTGTCGGCATGGTGTCGGGTTGGCCCCCGGTCGTTTGGGGGAGGGGATGTTTATTAATAAGGAAGAGTGATGACCCCTCCCCGAAGGGGAAGAAGGACGTGGAACTGCCTAAACCACCTACGCCCAGAGGGCTGGTGGGATTTCACCGAGTGGCCTTGCCGCTGGGAAGCATGCCGCCACGCGCTGAGTCTCCAGACTATTTCTCAGACTGCGGAATCGGGACATTCTGGGTGACGGGTCGAACGCTGTCTCGCCTTTTCTTACCCTTTTCTTTCTCCCCCGCATTTCCCATCCCTCCACCTCCCCTTCCTTTCACAAGATGCGATAAACTCTGATCATGCTCAGAGCATGTTCGAAACCCTATCTGGAGAGTTCGAACGCTTCCAGAGGCCCCCGAACTCATTCAGCCTTCGAAACCATCCGAAAATATTTAACAAACAACTTACCAACAGCTTCATACGCCCAATAACTTTTGAAGCCTGTTGAAATCCAGTCGAGCATCTTGCCGAACACCTTCGGAGGGCTCGTGAAAGCCTCCGAAGACCTGCCAGAGGCCGCCAGCGTCGACGCCGCCGCCGCCGCCGCCTTCGTCCTCGTTGACACGGTGGTCGTCGCTGGCCGCGTAGGCCCGCTGGTCGGCGGCATCTCCGAGGCCTCGGACAGCAGCGGTATCGGTCCAGGCCGAGGTCGAAGGTGGAGGGAGCAGCGGGCGCTGTGCCGACCGATGAGGAGGAGGGCGAGGACGTGGACGAGCACGGGGACGAGGAGGCCAGCATGAGGAGACGGAGGAGACGATAGTGAAGGACGGGGGGAATGCAGAAAGACGAGGACGAGAGCAGGATGTCCGATCGGGGGCGGGAGAAGCAGGAGGAGGAGGAGGAGGAGGAGGAGGAGGTGCACGAGAAAGAGGAGCAGGAGAGAAGGACTGAGGAGGAGGAGGAGGAGGAACCGAGGGGAAGAGGATGATGAGGGGGAGGAGGAGGAGGAGGAGGAGGAGGAGGAGGAGGAGGAGGAGGAGGAGGAGGAGGAGGAGGAGGGGGAGGACGATGAGGAGGAGGAGAAGGAGGAGGAGGATGAGGAGCTGGAGGAGGTGGAGGAGGAAGAGAGGAGGAATACAGAAGATGAGAGTGACGACGACGACGGCGGCGACGAGGACGACGACGACCGACGACGACGACGGCGACGACGACGGCGGCGACGACGACGACGACGACCGACGACGGCGATGACGACGACGACGCAGCCGCCGACGACGACGAAGAGCACGAAGAGCACGCGGGCTGCCCCCCCGACCTCGGCCTGGCCCGTCGGCAGCAGCAGCGGGAGCGCCGTCCGCGGGTTGCCCGCCCGGAGCGCCGCCGCGCCTGCGCAGGACGCCGCCGCCGTCGTCGTCGTCGTCGTCGGTGCCGTCGTTGCTCTCGTCATCGCCCTCTTCCGCCCGTCCCCCCATTTCTCCTCTTCCCCTCCTCCCCTTCTCCTTTATTTCTCCCTCGCCTATCTTCCCTTATCACAATTGCCTCCTCACTTCTCCTCTTCCTCCCTCTTCCGTCCAACCCCCCAGTCCCGCCCATCCCCCGAATCGCGAGATGGTCCTCTTTGTCACCCTGCGCCATGGGTGGCGCTTCCCGCGCGAATCACGATGTAGCCCGCGGAACAGCTCTAAGAATTTCAGCAGGACAGCGCTTTAGGTTATCCGTGGTTTACGCAGGGCCCCCTAAGCGCAAATTGGCCCTCTTTGCCGCTCTGCGCCATAGGCAGGCTGCGCCATAGGTTGCACCACCACCCGATCACGAGTTGGTCTTCTCTGTGCCCCGTCTTAGCATGTATTAACATAACACGATCACGCTACAGGGTGCGCCGCACCCACCCCGCGAGTTACGAGTAGTTGCCCCGCTCTGTCACCATGGGCAGTGGGTTACGCCATAGGTTTGCGCACCCCCCTCGCGAATCACGAGTTGGTCAGCCTTCTACTAGAGCGGCGGTGGTAGTAAAGCAAGGATGAAACACAAGCGAGTAAGGACATACGGTATCCGAGGCACCCGACGGAATCGCAGATAAACCCTCAAGTGGGGTTTTTAAAGGAGCGGAGGGGACGGGAGGGAACCTCAGGATGGCAGGTGAGGGGGAACGAGGAGGGCTAGCGGATGCGAGGGGGTGAGGAGGTGTGGGAAATGGGAGCCGGGGGTGATGATGGGCGGCGAAGGCACGATTTTTCTGATGTCGCCGGAGTCCCTTGCTGCCCGGGCCGCAGGATTCGCTCGAAGAGCGCGCCGCGACCGCGGCGACGCTGAAGGCAATCTGTGCCGTGGGCTTCCCGCTGGAGGCGAAGGAGCTATGGAGGAATAGTGGGAGGAGGACGTAGAGCGTAGAGAGGGAGCTCTCGGATCCAGGCGTCGCGAAATACTCACGACGACCGTTGTTGGCCCGATCCTGAATGAAGGCACGTCGAGTAAGTAGGTCTAGACTTTGACAATTTTTTCACTAGCTCGTTGTTTGATGTACGACCTGTTTTTTGTTGTGGCCCTCAGACACTTGCCATGCACGTCCCGTCTATCTGCCTGTTTCACTGCGCGAGCACTTGAGCATTAAGGGGGATGTCGAGCAGTGAGGCTGCAGGGAGCTCTTCCAAGCTGGCCGACATCCTTCAATCTACGGGGCACAAGCTCTGAGCCGATGACCATTCGTGACATCGGACTTTCTGGGGAAATACTGTTCTTGGATCATTCACGTCCGCGTTCGACGGGGATGGGGTCGTGTTGGCTCCGGGTCCCGTGTGGGCTTTGTGCACTCCGGACGCCTTGGTGAGGACCCCTTGCCGTTCCGTAGGTCGTTGCGTGATTGTTTCTCGGGCCCTCCTCGTGCACCCAGGTGTTTTTGGTTCCAAACAGGGGCTTCGCTCCTCCGTAGCAATTTTGGCTCCAGCCCTTTCGTCTCAGGTCACGTATCGACGTCACTCAGTCCCTTTTGTCCCACCTCCCGCGCGAATGATGTCCCGTATCGCTGCGTTCCTCCTGTCCCCGCTTGTTCTCGCATCCGCCGAGGCAGGGGATCGCGCTGGGACCTGCAAAGGCGGCGTGTGCCACCAAGGAGAGGAGGGAGGCGCCGCTCTTCTGCACAACGGGATGGCTACTTCCTGATTCCCGCCTGCGGACCCAGGAAACGATTGTTTTTTCACGGCGAAGGCGATGCGCCAGGACTTTGCGCGAGTGGAACTGCAGAAGGAACCTGAGGACTTACGAAAGGTAGCATGCCCTTGCAGGTTTGAAATCGCCGTGGGGGGCATGCAGGATCTCCGCAAGGCAGAGGATCCAGTGCATGCTACGGCGTGGCAGCTCATGGTCTGCATGGCCACGGGGGGTATTTTGCGTTTGGTGATTCGTGCGGAACTTGACCGTGCGCGACAAGGAATTACAACCGCAGTTCCATGCACCATCGAGGCAAAGCGCGGGGGGGCTGGTTTACGCGCGCGGGGCGGGGGCGGCGCCATCCTAGGGGCACTTGCGAGAGGGCAGACTTAGAGCGCGATTCATTCCATCTGCGGAAGATGGCGCAGAGGGAGGCGACGGTAACCAGCAATATCAATCGCACGGCCCAGATGGCCCAACCATTGAAGCCACTAAAAGAAACCGACATCGACGCCGGCCTCCTCGTTCCGTGGGCCAACAGGGAGACTGGCGTTTCCGAAGGAGGTTGGGATCATGGAAGAACCCCCCTTGGTTGGCGACCAGATCCTGTTCTGCGTTCTACAGAATGCCCCCACGCCCATGTATGGAGCTGGCTTGGGCTGCGGTACCAGCGGATGGGGCTGCACAGCGGTCGCCGCACGATTGCACACGCCAAGGAACGATCCAGGCTTTTGCAGTCTACGTGAGCAGCTACGCCATCTTTGGCATCGAAGCTGGTCCAGGTCGACCCTTGGGAGCAGTTTCTGCAGCTCCTGCGGCAGCGCCCACGCGCGCGCGGTCGCGCGCGCGCGCGACGGCGCTGAGTTGGCCGGAGGAACGTCAGTCTAGAAAGTTCGCAGAGATGACCCCACAGCAGCGGAAGCTCCGACAGAGGATCCCCCGCAGTCGGCCCCGGCCCAGGAACGGGCCCAAACCATCGAACAGAGGATTGAGCTTCAACGTTCGGCTCTGGACATGGCGATGCCACATCATCCAGGGCGGCTTTTACATGGCACCATGAGGCCTTCGAGCTCACGGAGACCACCGCGCTATTTCGTCATGGCGACTCCCACGGCGCATCGCGACACTGTTGAGAAGGAGTCGCATTCGGATCATTTCTTGACCCGACCAGAGGCCGACTCGGACTATGCAGCGCTCGTTTCTTACAGCCCCGAGCGCAGTTGTCGCGTGGTGGGCCGGGCGCGCAACGGCGACGAGCCACCCATTGCCATGATTCATGTAGACGACCAGCCAAAGTTCCATGGGCGAGGTAGGTCTGACCAGCGGGCAGAGTACCGCACTTCTTTACATGCGCAGGAAAACGCGCGACCGCGACCCATATTTGTCTGCGTGGACGCGGCGGCCTAGGCCTCGGAATGCAACGGGGAGGCTCCGCAGCAGGTGCTAGTCAAGGCGAAGTACCTTGCGGGCTCATCTCCCCGAGACGTCCTCTGGGGAGATTCCGGGGCGTGGGGGGTTGCATTCTGCCCGGGCTTGATTTGGGGCTCAACGGCGCGGTGCCAGCGCCCGCCCGGTGGAGACGTTCGCCCGCGCCCAGTCTGGCGCAGTTTAGCTGCGAGGCGTCTCCTCGCGACCCTGTCGCGCATCTCCTGCGCGGCGCGCAGTGTTCGGACGGCGCGGGGAAGCAGAAGCGCCACCAGCCGTAAACTTTACCGCTTCCTTTTGGCGAGTCAAAGTGGCTAGATGAGGCTTTCGAGCTCTCCGAATGACGTGTTCTCGAGTCCACGTTTGGCTTGGTTTTCACCAAGGCCGACGGCCCGCCCGCGGGTGGGGCGGGGGCTCGAGCAGAAGATGGGGCCGCTGGTCCATTTGCACGGCGGAGGGATGCGGAATCTTTGGAGGGCGAGGATTCGAACAGTCCAGAGACTATAGATTCCACGCCACCTTGGGCGCACCAGAGTCGAACGCAGGACGACGCGCCCACCGAAGCAGATGAAGGCGACGCCCAAAGAGGTGATCACAAACGAATGGGTGGGCGAAGTGCGGTCGCAGGTCGGAGCGTCGGCGCGGCCTCGGCGACAGCGCGGCCCGACATATCGGAGCCAGCGGCGCTCTTGGCGCACGTGCTCAAGGAAAGTCATGCGCAACCTCGTCGAGTGCAGCCAAATCGTCGCACGCGTCGAAGCCGCGGGTGCAATGGGCATCAATATCTGCGCCGTCGACCCCGAGAAGCCTGTCCGCGTTGCCGCGCAGCGCGCGGCGCGCAGCAACTCCGAGAACTTCCGCTTTGGGGGGGCTTCCATCATCGCATCCACGCCGCGGGGGTCGGCGGTGGTTTGGCGCGCAGGTGAGATGAGCAGGGCGGTCGAAAGCTCTATGGTCGACAGCTCTATGGCTTCAGCTCAAAGGCGCAGAGGAGAGAGCCGCGCGCGTGCGATGCGTGAGCTCGCGAGCAGCATGTTTGGGCCATTTTGGCTTGAATGTGTTCCAAGCTGACATGTCTGTGCCTCGCGGTGGAAGGTGGGCTCTTGCCGGGCATGCTGATCGCAGCGGCAGAGGTGTTGCAGTGGCCCGCGCGGCTTCAGGGTTGAAGCAGCCCGTGGGAATATTGGGCATCACATGCAACATGTCTCCACGCAGTGGTATTCTAACCGTGTGTGTGTGTGTGTGTGTGTTTTCGACTTACATGCCAAACTTCGTGCGCTTGCGAGCCGTGCGCTGGCGCGCGCACCGTGCCGCTTTTTTTGTCCAGGGTTTGTTGCATCGCGTGGGGCTCAAATTGAGGAGCGCCGTTTTATTCTGAAATTCTGCATTTGGGTCGCTGAGATGTGCCTTCACTTTGGGTCACTTAGATACGTCTTCATCGCTTCGGGCGCGGCTCTGGTGAAGCGCAAGATCGCTGCTGCATCCTTGCAGCCCGCGGTGTTTCTGGAGGGGCACGTGTTTGGGGGAACTGCGGGGATTCTTGTTCCTTTGTTTCCACCCCCTCTGAAAGTGTTCGGGCCCCAGGCGCCCGGGGCTGCGGCGATGCGTGGAGCTAGAGGCGCTAGAGCCTATATCCATGTCCTATCCATATACATCGACATTGCTTCGCAAGGGCCATGGAGAGGGCGGCATCTGTTTCGACTTCGGTAGGACCTTCCCCATGGGGCCCTCGCGCAGCCAGAGTGCGTCTCTGAAATAACGAAATCCATTCCGGCCAATATAAGACGCCCCCCAAGGGGCCCTCGCGCAGCCGAGACGGGGTGTCAACGATGCTGGAGCCGACGCGGGTCCTTCAAGTTCGAATCCACATGGAGTTCGAGGCGCCCCGAGCCATGCGAGTGCGAATCCACGTTGCGTTCGAACCGGCGCGAGCCCTTCAAGTTCGGATTCCAAAAAATGCGAGCCGCCTCGAGCCCTGCACGCTCAAATTCAAATAGGGTTCGAACCGCCCAAACCTCTGCAATTTCGAACCCACGTTGAATTCGCGCTTGATGGGGCCCGAGGCGGTTCAAACTATGCATCGAGACTTGCGGGTTCAAGTTCAGCTTGAGTTCGAAACGCCTCGAGCCCCGCGGCTTCGAAGTACAACGTATGTCGAACGGCCGTGGCCAAGCAAGTTCGATCTCGCGCCGGGTTCGATCCGCCCAGGGCGCGGCAGGTTCGAATTGGAATAGACACCCGGACCGCCTCGAGCCCTGCAGGTTTGAATTCGCATTGCATTTGAGACGCCCCGGGCCCGGGCGTGAATTCGAATTTAGTCTGAGGCGCCGAGGGCCCTGCACGTCCGAACCCAGTCTGAATTCAGACCGCCCCGTGCCCTGCAGGTTCGAACTTCAGTTCAGTTTGAGGCACTGCAGGTTCTGATTCAATTTGATTCCGAGTCGCCTCGGTCCTTTCAATTCCCAATTCAGATGCCCGGGGCCCTGCCGGTTCGAATGCAAAGTCAGTTCGACACGTTTCGGGCTCGGATGCTCTGGGCCCAATTCGGCATCGAACCGCCCTGGGCCCTGCGCGTTCGAAGCCGCGTCGTGCTCGAACCGCCCCGGGCCACGCAGTTTCGAACCCAACTTAAGGCCGAACCGCCTCGAGCCCTGCAGGTTCGAGCTCGCGTGGACTTCGAGCCGCCTCGGGCCCTGCAAGGCCGAGTTCAAACTGAGTTCGAACCGATCCGGGCCTTGCAGGTCCGTCTTCAAACCGATTTCGAACCTCCCTGGGCCCTGCAGGCTCGAACCCAATTCGGCTTCGAACCTTGTGGAGCCTTGCAGGTTCGACTTTTGCCTGAAGTCGAGCCGCCTTGGGCCCCGCAGGCTCGCGCCGCCTCGAGCCCTGCGGGCCCGCGCTCGAATGGAATTCGGGCCGCCTCGAGCCCTGCTGATTCGAATTGAAATTGAGTTCGAACTCGAAGGGCCCGAGGCGTCTCGAATTTGATTTGGTTTCGAGGCGACGCGGGCCAATCGAGCTCGAAAGCAACGCGAGTTCAAGCCGCCCCGGACCCGGCAGGTTCGAACTCAGTTTGAGTTCGAAATTGCGGGGCCTGAGGCGTTTCGAAACCAGTCTGAATTCGAACCGACGCGGGCCCTTCAACTCCGAATTCAATGTCAGCGCGGAACGTCTCGGACCCTGCAGGTTCGAACTCAATTCCAGTTCGATCTCACGTAGAGTTCGAGACTAAGGAGCCCAATGAGGGTTCGATTTCAACGTGAATTCGAGCCTACGCGACCTCTGCAACTCCGAATGTCAATTGGGTCGGAACCGCCTCGGGCCCTGCAGGATCGAAGTCGTTTTAGTTCGACCTTGAAGTGCCCTAGGCGGCTTGAGTCCAGCTTGAGTTTTAACCGGTGCTGGCCCCGCATGTTCGAACTCAACTTGAATTCGACCTTTCTTGGGTCTTGCAGGTTCGACCTCCACTTGAGTTCGAACCGCCTTGGGCCCTGCATGTTCAACTTCACATTGCGTTCGGACCGCCTCGCTCTGCAGGCCCGTATCCACATTGAATTCGGACCGCTCGGAGCCCTGCAAATTCGAATCGAATTTTGTTTCGAATGCGAGTTGAGTCCGAACCGACGCGAACCGTCCGTTTTCGAATTCAAATTATGAAGTGATCGAACTCAAAGTGGGCCCTGCAGGCTCGACTTCAAGCTGAGTTCGATGGTCCGTCGGGTGGATGATGGTGCAGATGCGGTTTAGACAACGGAAACTATAGAACATCGATCTGCTCGAGTGTACAACCAATAAACTTGCGCTACCGACGGCCTTGTTATGAGGGAGTAGGGACGTTCGAAAGCAGAGAAGGACGCACGACGATCGGGAACGAGAGGCCGAGGAAGAGGATACTGAGGGACGAGCGATGGGGGGGACGACGAAGGACACGCGAGCTGGGTCACGTTCTGGGCATGGGCAGCTTGCGCAGAGCACATCGAACATGTCGTCTCGGTTACTCTTTTTGCTGTTGCAACAGCCGGTTTGGATACAGCTGGGTTGGGAAGGCCTTTTGGCTTTCTGCCCCTTCTCCCGTCTTCAACGCCTGGTGGTTTCTGGGCCACTTGACTTGCCGTCTTTCTTGGTCGCTCACGCTCATCCCCCCGCGGGACCGTTCAAATGCCTTCGAGGAGTTGAGGGGATCACGGATCACGGGTGACACGCGCATTTTGTTTCATGCCCTGGACATGTGGATGTTGGTTCGCGATTTCATACAACATATGCACACGCGACACCCCATGTGTACGCTCCGTGCGGAGCATCAACGCAAAACCGCCCTGCACCCACAGGGTCGCGGCCGAGGAGTCTGGGCCGCCTGGCGGTGGATGCGGACGTGTTTCTCGCCCGCGCAGGGTCGCGGCGCCGGCGGCGCTCGCCAGAGGGGGGGGCTCAGGCCTGGGTGGCAGGGCCATCGCGTGCAGCCCCCCGACCCCACCCCCCTGGGGGATGCCCGCGCGCCCCTCGCCCCAGGAGTTGGAGCGGCAACTGCGGTACCTCTGCCGCCATCTGCTGCCTCTCGCTCAGCGTCGGGGTCTTGGCTCAGCTATGTGCGTTCGGTGCGCGCACGTTGCGTGCACTGGTCGTCTCGACATGCGCGTTGTCTTCATTCTCCTTGCGGCACGGGGAGCGGGCGATAAGATGAGATGAGGAGCGGTAGACTGCCAGGGAGGGGCGGTGATATGCGAGTGGGACTTTGAAGAAAGGGGGGGGGAGAGCGCTCCTTGTTGCCATTGCCCAGTCCAGCCTCTCCATCCGACCTGTCCCTCTTGCCTCCCTCCTGGACTCCTTCTCTCTCTGCTTACACCCTTATCCTTTTTCCTATACGTCCCGGTTCTCCTCGCTTGATTTCTCTTGCACATCTTCCTCTCTATCACCCCCTCCCCATTTTTCAACCCCTCTTGTTCTGCGCCTCATCCCATCGGTGGAGCGTCCGCTGGAAGCAGGAGCTGGGCTCGTTCTTCCATCTTACTGGCTTCGCCTGTGCCGCACATCGTATTCTCACATTGCTGCTTTAACCTCCCTCCTCCTGCTCCCGTCAGAAGGTAGGGGGGGGGCTCTTCAAGGCCATGCACACTCACCTTCTAATAGGTGGGGGTATGTAGAGTATCAGTATCCACTGTTTTTGAGCCGTGTCCATGGATGCCAAGTCGCGGTGGAAACGCATATCCGCTCGGCCATGAGGGCAGGAGCATGTACAACTTTGGAACGCGAAAGGCAGGAGTCCTTCTCTGCACAAGAAGGACGCCCCTTGATCCTGCACCCGCAAGTTTTTGCACCTTCCTCTGGCTCGTGCTCCTGGCCTCACCAATTGCTGCTCCTCTTCACGATTACCGCGTCCAGATTTGTCCTGATCGGCCGTTTGTGTTTTGCTCGGTCTGCAGCGTCCATGGGGGAAACCACATCGTAGTTACCGGTCGAGTATGACGCGCAAGTGCTCCATGCTTTTTCTTCATGCTCGTGCTAATGCCGCAACTTGAAGTGCCTGGCCAAAACGGGGGCGATTCCAGCGCAGTGTCTCCGTCAGTGTTGCTGTTCCTTCTCGTTTCTCGTCCGCTTCGCCTTCTTTTGTTTATTGGTATTATTATTACTCTCACGTTTATTCGTATTCTTCTTCGTCTTCATCCTGCTTGGTCATTCCCCCTTTTCCTCCCTCCTCTCCTGATCTTCCCTGACCGTAGGTCAGCCCTCCTGCTGCTACTTCTCCTCCTCGCCCGTGCCACTACCGCTGCTTCTGATCCATCCAGTTTTCCTGCCTCTCGTCCGTTGCTGGTCCATCCTCCCTCCTCGTGATCCCGCCGCGACTGCCGGGGAAGTCGCCGCGCCAGATCAGTTGGGCGATCCCTCCAAACGGTGTCTGCCAGTGTCTTCTCTTCCGTTTCTTAGGAGGAGGTTGCAGATGAGGCGAGGGATGCGTCGGAGGAGGGACGGAAAGAGGGCGAGGAGGAGGAGGTGGAGGAGGAGGATGAGGAGCGAGTCCGACTGGTGCTTTCAAACCGGCCAGCGCTTTGTCGGGCAACGAGCGCATGAGTTCAGACAAGAGAACGACTGTGTAATTAACTGCTTGCATGGGGAAGGTGGCGCTCGGAGCCGCTCTGCGCCCGAGTTGCATGAAGCATGCTTGCGAAGGGGGAGGTTTTGTCTGCGCCAGGTCAAACGCTCTCGAACAGTGGGATGGTTCACTGGTGGGAAGGTTGCGTCCTTTTTACCTAACAGCGAAGTCTGATAGGTTTCTAGTAGGGTCAAAAGAAAACATCATGACGCCCCAGGGGGGTCTGGGCGCGATCCGGGGGAGTGCCGGGGACTTTTGTTTTTTTAGCAACCAGTTACACACTTCGTGGTCTTCGAGGTCCCAGAACTCCATTCCCGGGCCACATTCTGAATGCCCAGAGCCAATTGTAGGCCACTTCGTGGTCTTCGAGTTCCCAGAATCCCAGAACTCCATTCCAGGGCCACATTTTGAATGCCCGGAGCCAACTGTAGGCCACTGCGTGCTCTTCTAATTCCCAGAAGTCCATTCCCGGGCCACATTTTGAATGCCCAGAGCCAACTGTAGGCCATTTCGTGGTCTTCGAGTTCCCAGAAATCCATTCCTGGGCATGATTTTGAATGCCCGGAGCCAACTGTAGGCCACTTCGTGTTCTTCGAGTTCCCAGAACTCCATTCCCGGGCCACATTTTCAATGTTGAGGCAGGCTGATGTTGAGGCTGAGGCAGGCTGAGGCTGAGGCAGCCTGAGGCTGAGGCCGAGGCTGAAGGCAGATTGAGGCTGAGGCTGAAGCAGGCTGAGGCTGAGGCTGAGGCAGGCTGAGGCTGAGGCTGAGGCAGGCTGATGCTGAGGCAGGCTGAGGCTGAGGCTGAGGCTGATGCAGGCTGAGGCTGAGGCACGCTGAGGATGAGGCCGAGGCTGAAGGCAGACTGAGGCTGAGGCTGAAGCAGGCTGAGGCTGAGGCTGAGGCAGGCTGAGGCTGAGGCTGAGGCTGAGGCAGGCTGATGCTGAGGCAGGCTGAGGCTGAGGCTGAGGCTGATGCAGGCTGAGGCTGAGGCAGGCTGAGGCTGAGGCCGAGGCTGAAGGCAGACTGAGGCTGAGGCTGAAGCAGGCTGAGGCTGAGGCTGAGGCTGAGGCTGAGGCTGAGGCTGAGGCAGGCTGATGCTGAGGCAGGCTGAGGCTGAGGCTGAGGCTGATGCAGGCTGAGGCTGAGGCAGGCTGAGGCTGAGGCCGAGGCTGAAGGCAGACTGAGGCTGAGGCTGAAGCAGGCTGAGGCTGAGGCTGAGGCAGGCTGGCTGAGGCAGGCTGAGGCTGAGGCTGAGGCTGATGCAGGCTGAGGCTGAGGCAGGCTGAGGCTGAGGCCGAGGCTGAAGGCAGACTGAGGCTGAGGCTGAAGCAGGCTGAGGCTGAGGCTGAGGCAGGCTGAGGCTGAGGCTGAGGCAGGCTGAGGCTGAGGCTGAGGCTGATGCAGGCTGAGGCTGAGGCTGAGGCCGAGGCTGAAGGCAGACTGAGGCTGAGGCTGAAGCAGCTGAGGCTGAGGCTGAGGCAGGCTGAGGCTGAGGCTGAAGCAGGCTGATGCTGAGGCAGGCTGAGGCTGAGGCTGAGGCTGATGCAGGCTGAGGCTGAGGCAGGCTGAGGCTGAGGCCGAGGCTGAAGGCAGACTGAGGCTGAGGCTGAAGCAGGCTGAGGCTGAGGCTGAGGCAGGCTGAGGCTGAGGCTGAGGCAGGCAGGCTGAGGCTGAGGCTGAGGCTGATGCAGGCTGAGGCTGAGGCAGGCTGAGGCTGAGGCCGAGGCTGAAGGCAGACTGAGGCTGAGGCTGCAGGCTGAGGCTGAGGCTGAGGCTGAGGCAGGCTGATGCTGAGGCAGGCTGAGGCTGAGGCTGAGGCTGATGCAGGCTGAGGCTGAGGCAGGCTGAGGCTGAGGCCGAGGCTGAAGGCAGACTGAGGCTGAGGCTGAAGCAGGCTGAGGCTGAGGCTGAGGCAGGCTGAGGCTGAGGCTGAGGCAGGCTGATGCTGAGGCAGGCTGAGGCTGAGGCTGAGGCTGATGCAGGCTGAGGCTGAGGCAGGCTGAGGCTGAGGCCGAGGCTGAAGGCAGACTGAGGCTGAGGCTGAAGCAGGCTGAGGCTGAGGCTGAGGCAGGCTGAGGCTGAGGCTGAGGCAGGCTGATGCTGAGGCAGGCTGAGGCTGAGGCTGAGGCTGATGCAGGCTGAGGCTGAGGCAGGCTGAGGCTGAGGCCGAGGCTGAAGGCAGACTGAGGCTGAGGCTGAAGGCAGGCAGGCTGAGGCTGAGGCAGGCTGAGGCTGAGGCTGAGGCTGAGGCTGTGACTGCGACTGCCGTTGCCACTGCGACTGCCATCGCGAATGCGACTACGACTGCGAGAACAGCAGAATTCTACAACAGGATTCTCATCTGAATCTTAAGGGCTACACATCGCTGTTAGGTTGCTTTGCCGGGATAATTTCCTTCTACCCTGGTACTGACGAGAGCGGTGAGGTCATGAGGGGGGGGTCAGGATATGCGTCCCCCAGCCCCCCCTCGGCCACTTCTCGGAGGAATTGTTGTTGAATGTGCGATAGAAGCCCCCACTGGTCGGGCGGCGTGCTCCGCCGGGAATGCATTGATGATGTTTTCGGCAGTCGCCCGCACTGAGGAAATCGACAAGGAATCCGGCGGCCACGTGGAATCCGGCGGCCCCACCCACCCCTCCAGGCAAACAATTTCGGGGAATCGCCCGCTGCGGTCAACGTGTAAACTATACGAACCCTACCGCGGCCGCCAGACCAGCGAGCTTGCGGAATGCCTGGCATCGGGCCGTGACTATTTTCTCGACTCGTGTCCCCCGTCAGGCTTGTGACGCGTGGGGAATCGCGCGTGCGACCAACGCGTCGTCGTCATCTTTCGGCAGCATATGGCCCCCCATTTTTTTTTTTTTTTTTAGTTTTTTTGGCAGATTGCGACTGCACGTTTACTTTCACAATGCGCGTGGACCAGGTGATTTGTTTCACACCGTTGTCGGGGTGACACGCGTTGCATGCGTGCTTTCCCAGCAGCGCATGACCCCTTGGAGGTGTCTTTTGCAATGTATGAGTACATGCCAGCACCCAGAGCAGTCACGAGTGGACCAATTTTTCTCCTCACCTTGTTCGGGGTGAGGTGGGTCATCTTTGTACTTCTTCGTGTTGTGCGTCTACATGTTGGCACTCCGGATGCGAATGGCCAACTTGTGTGTCACAACGTTTCCGGGGTGACACGTGTCATTTCTGTTTCGTCGGCATTGTTTGGTCCGCATGTGTTGTTACAACGCACGGCTACACATTCGCATTCCGTGTACCATTTGGCAACTTTGTTTTTTCTTACACCGTTTTCGCGTGGTTTCTTCGGCGATGTGTGGCCCAAACAAGTTTTTTGTATGTGCAATGCACGACTACATGTCGGCGTTCAGAAAACGGATGGACATATTTTTCTTTCACCCCGTTTTTGGTGTGACGCGTATGAGTTGTGTGCATTGTCGGCACGCGTGACCACGTGCAGGCGCCTGCTTGCAATG